TCCACGTCACCGACGCCGCAGCCGGCCCCGATCAGGTTCTCTTCGAGGCGGGCGGCGCCACGCGGGGCGTCGCGCTGGTGCTGAACAACAACGCCTTAACGTTCAACGTCGATGGCGACGCGGCAGACGCCGACCTCACCGCAACGCTAACTCCAGGCTGGAATCAAGCCATCGGCGTGGTCGACCTGGAGAACGGTGGCGACACGATCTCGCTCTATCTCAACGGCGCGCTCGTCGGTAGCCTTGCCAATCAGACGATCGACGATTGGGCCGGCGGCAATCCCCTGGGGGTCGGGGCCGGCGCTAGTTCGTCGACCGGGGTCGCCTCCGCCGTTGGCAATCCGTTCCATGGCGACATCGCAATCGCTCGCTACTACACAGACGTTGCGTTTCGTCTCGACGAAGTCGATCAGAACTACCAGTGGCTGCTCCAAGGCCATCAGCAGCCCAGCGGCGCCGACGCCGTCACGTTGGCGATCGTCGGTGACCTCTCGCTCGAGTCGGCCGCCACGATCGAACTCGACCTCCTCAATCCCGAGACCCACGACCGAGTCAGCGCGGCCGGCAAGGTCGAGTTAGACGGTGTGCTGGTGGTGTCGGCGGCGAGCGGCTTCGCCCCGTCCGCGGGCGACGTGTATGCGATCATCAACGGAGCGACGCTGTCGGGAGTCTTCCAGAGCGAACAGCTCCCGGCGCTGACGAGCGGCCTGATGTGGCAGGTCAAGTACGACGGCTCATCGGCAACGCTGCTGGTCACCCTGTCGGGGGACTACAACGGCGACGGCGCCGTGGACGCCGCGGATTACACCACATGGCGCGACATGGACGGACAAGCCGTGCCGGCCGGTACGAGGGCCGATGGCAACGGCGACGGCATGGTCAATCAACTCGACTACGCCGTCTGGAGCGCGAACTACGGGCAAGCAATCGCAAGCGGAGCCGATTCGAACGCCACGCCCGAACCCACCGGAGCCTCGCTGACGATCGTCGGCGGGCTGTTGCTCAACTGGCTAAAGGGCGACGGGCGCTGAGACGCAACCAACGGGCGCCTCTTGCCATCCAGACCAACTAAACGTGTGTGATCAGATCGCGATGAGAGACGGGATTCATCTAACGCTACTCGTGCTGCTGAGTATGGCGCTAACGCCGTACTCAGTCGTCGCCGGGTCGCCGAAGCTCGGCTGGGCGGGCGGTAGCGCCGACGACATTAACGCCTCGAACGCCAGTTGGTATTACCGCTGGTGGCACGATATTCCCGCCTCGGCCAACGGCGCGCTGGCCGAGTTTGTCCCGCTGATCAAGTACCCCGCCAACCTGCAGAACAAGCTCGACGCTATCAACAGTATTCCCAATGTTGATTCGGTGCTCGTGCTCAACGAACCCGAACGGGTTGATCAGTCGGACGTTACGGTGACGGAGGCGCTCGCGTTGTGGCCTCAGGTGCAGTCGAATCTCCCCGACAAGCGGTTGATCAGCCCCGGCGTCTCGGACGACGCAGCAGGCCAGGCATGGCTCGACGCGTTCTTCCAAGAGGTCGACGCCTCCAAGAGCAACGCCGACCCACTGGATGATCTCCGCGTCGATGCGGTGGCCTTCCATTGGTACGGCGCCAGCACGCCCAACGCCGTCAGCGCCGCGAACAATTTCCTCAGCCGCGTGGATCACTACCACAACCGTTATGGCCTCCCGGTCTGGATCACCGAGTTCACGATCCATGATTGGGCGGGCAACTACACCGACGAACAGATCCTCAACGCCAACGCGGAGTTCCTCGACATCGTTATCCCTGCTCTTGAGAGCCGGAGCTACGTCGAGCGTTACGCCTACTACAGTTTCTTTAGCGACGCTGTGGCGTTCAGCGGCACGCCGATCACCCCGACCGTTGTGGGAGACGCCTACGCCGGCACGCTGATGGCGGGCGAGTCGCGCGACCTAGCGGGGGCCGATCCCAGCACCGATGTCATTTATCTACGCGGGGGAATACTACAGAACTCTGGCTCCGCCTTGCCTGAAGCGGTGCGGGCGATCGACGCCCTTCAAGGAATGAGCACGATTTCCGCTGACAGCAACTGGTCGTCAGCGAATCTCCGCTCGAGCTACGTCAACGTTCGCGCCGGGGCGACGCTACGCAAGACGGGCGATGCGGCAATCGACCTGTACGGGCCGGTGCTGCTGGAGGGAACGCTGCAGGTGGAAGCGGGGACGCTGCGGCTGCTGGAGAGCCCCGTCTCGGCCGCGCAGGGCGCCACGGTTGTCGACGCCGGCGCCACGCTCGGTTTGTCCTTGCAGGACGGGCGGGGCACCCACATGTTTTCGGATCACGACTTGAGTGTAGCCGGTACCGTTGCGGGACCTTTGCGGCTCGCTGCGGGATCAACGCTGACAACCTCCGGGGTCACGGCCGGATTCACCTCGAACCTGACGCTCAACGCCTCGGTCCTCGATGTCGGCGGCGCTGGGCTCGAGAACGGGGCTCCGCAGGTCCTACCAGTCGCTACAGGGCTGAAGCTGAACTACGTCGCGAGCCTCGACACGCCCGGCGATAACGCTTGGTCCGACGCGATCGGGTCAAGCAACTCCTTCACGTTCGCTCAAGCCGTGAGTCCGATCGCCGTCTCGAACTCGGCGTTCCCCGCGATCACGGCGGCGTATTCGATCGGGTCCACCGGCGGCGCTCAGGGTCTCAATCAGTACTTCGAGACGGACGGGCCACGCAGTCGCCAAGACGCCACGTTCGAGGTGGTATTCCGTGTCAACGACACAGCTGCGGGCGCCGATCAGGTGCTGCTCGAAGTGGGCGGGGCGGCGTCGGGCGTCGGGATAGTCCTCAATGGCGACGAACTCCTCTTCAACGTCGATGGGACCGGCGGTGACATCGACCTCCGCGCCACGCTGGCCCCGGG